AAGAGTGTGGTGTCCCGCTGTAGAACCTCATCTGTACTGAATTCCAGGGTAGGGTGGAAATCGACTGAGTGTCATTCTGGGATTTTAGGAATTAGAGTAAGGGAAGAATAATATACGAGTCTATGAGATTAGAAGTATACAGTCTTGCATGGGAAGACGAATTTTTCCCTTGTCCCAGCAGCCAGGCTAGCGCTGATACTGGCTCAGTCTCTTCTTCCACCAGAGAGCACGTGCTTTTCTCCCGGGGTTAGAACTGTGCTTTGACTGCCAAAGGAAACCTCATTCCGTTTCCTCATTCCAGGGACAGAGGGCTCCACGCCAGCTGGGGCTCATTCACAGGTTGTCTGGGAGGACTGGCCAGGATCTTGGCACTGTGGGAAGACCTTTCCCCCTGTTTGGTGACCACACTGTGGTCAGCTGCATTTCCAACCCCCTCAGCAACAGAATGGCATTCTTTGCAGGAAAAAGAAGCTGTTCATGGTAGTTAGTTTTTCGAGTTAACTGGTGTTGATCCTGAAAGCTGACTGTAGTAACATGAAATTGCTCCAGTTAAAGAATAGCATCAAAGACTTTCTTCCCAGAAAAGCACAGAATAGAAAGTTAATGCAAAAACAGGAGCTAACCTAAGCTCATAGCACCTGCCTACACCAGTTTACAAAAAGAATCAAACACCACTATTAAAAGTAATTCAGGGACTTTTAACCTAGTTTCTATAAATTACCAATATAACTGATAAAGGACCTATTTGGAGTGACCCAAGTAGCCATCAGCAAACTAGTTTGTCATTTTCTGAGCTCCAGAATTGCTGAATATCTTTGCATTAAACAGGAGAGGTGGACCTGCCAGGTCTCTGCAAGTATTGAAAGTAAAAGTCTCTTTGGGCTTATGAATTTGCTCACTGGACGGTTTTATTTTTTTTTTAATTAACAAATATGTACTAAGCATCTTCTGTGGCAAAGTACTGTGTGTCATCAATTTTGACTCCGATTTTATAGCCTTGCCTCAAGTGGATCATGTTAAAGCTGTATGTGTCTAAACCCAAGCCTTGGTACGGAGCAGACAGTAGCTTTATATAGAGATGGAATGGGGTAAGGGAGTGGCCTTTGGCTTACACCAGAACCATCTTATCTCACGTGAAGGACTAAGGGTAAGGGGTGGGGGGTGGTTAGAAACAGGTCTTAATGAGGTTCCCAAAGTTCAAAACAAGCCAAGTACGAATCCTATAGTTTTTGTTTGTGTTTTGAGAGAGAAGGAACAGGAATCCTCATGACAGCCTACAGTAAATGCTCAGGAAACTGTAACCACAATCTCTTAACGCCACACAGAAATGGCCTATGGGAGCCACTGGACCAGGCTTCTGGCCCTGACTGTACATTGATGTTCTAACGAAGTCTCTGCCATCATCATTGCTGCTTTTCAAACCTTGGCAGTTAATGTTCATTAAAACCAATTCCCTTCATCAGGCAAATCTTGACATAGACAATTTTTGCTTGATGTTATCATTAGAAGATCTACCCTTTTCCTTAAAAGAGAGAAAGAATCCATTTTCTAACACTAAATTTACACACTCAGTCTCTTCCTGTGGACAAGTCCTAAGCCCAGAAGACCCTCTGAGAAGGTTCCTCCCTGCTCTTTGGTTAAGGTGGTGGTCTACCATAGATCAACCTAAGACAGTCCTAAGTAAAAATGCCACCTCTTTGGGGCCAGAATGAAGTCACTTGACAGCTTTGTTTTTTCCTATTAATTTGGATGCTGCAGAAGACCAGAAGAAGTACATGCTCACACGCAAAACCACAAACCACTGAAAACTACCTAAACACTGATTTAGTGAAAAGAGCAGAGACCTAAATTTCTCTAGCAGAGACACAGTGAAAAGTTAATGTTGGGACCTTTAAACCTTCAGTTCACTAGCTAGGCTTTGTTCAGGATGAAAGGACCTTCTAAAACCACACTAGTCCAGACCAAACTTCCACACAGCTTTTTATAAACCACTGCGTATGAGGAATATGCTAGGAAAAAAATGTTAAAAACAGATTATTGACCCACACCAATTTTTTTAATAAATAGGACAGATACTACTACAGAAAAGTCTTATTTATTTTGCCTGCATTTGTGCTTAAAACAAGTTTTGTGGTGGGCTGGGCTTCTCAATGAACTCCGAGGCAGAAATATTTGCCTTGGAGTCTGTGGATTCTTTAAACCTGTGTGCTTAATTCAACAATGTTACATTAATTGTGGAAGGGTTTTTGTATAGTTTTCAAACATCTGTGGTTGTAATGATCTTTGTTAAACATATATTCTGTAAAGTGCCATAGTCTTTTTATGTGTAGCGTATTTAAAAATATATATATGTATATTATACATACACGAGTTTGTGTGAAAGATGTGCAATAACAAAGGTGTATGTATGTATTGTTTTTTTTCAGAAACTGGACAGGAGTCAAAACAAAGATGTTTCTGTTTTGGCAAAGGAGAGTTACACATTTTTGCCTTGATGGCCACGTCATTAACCCATAACAGTTTTAATGCTACACAAATCGTATGTGAAGAAAAAGACTGGCATGAAATCATTTTCTCCTGGGTCTAAATTAAAATAATCACTCGACTTATGTGAAAGTTAAGCCAGCAAGGCAGGCCCAGTTAATGCTAGTCTTTCTTGTGAAATGTGAAGCCGCCATGTTGCCTTTTCTGTTAGTGTGATAACTAGTAGCTGGTACATAATCGCTAAGGAGCTATTTCTTAACATACTTTCATAGACTGTGTTAATGCTAGACCACTATTTAAGGGCTAATCTCACACCTTCTTAGCCAGAAGAGTCTGGCTTAGAACAGACCTCTGTGCAATACCACGTGGCCCTGGGAATCCCTGGCCTGCATCTTACTTGGGTAGCAATGACTCCCAGGAGCCAAAAACAAGCATTAAAGGCACAGCTTGGATTTCTGCTGAGACTGTGGTGAAACTCCTTCCAAGGCTTTGGCGAGGGTCATTAGGTGCTTTGGAGGAACTCGGCACCACTTGATATTCAGCAGCCACTTGAGCCAAATAAAAATTATATTTACAGCCGATGGACTCAATTTGAGCCTTCAAATGTGTGGTTATCCTGTTATACTGTAAACTAATACATTGTTTGTCTAGCATTGATTAGGTTCTTATCATATGTATTTCACAGTGTGCTCCCCTCCCTTCCCTCCCCAGATGGGAATTAAACCAGATTTTGCAAACTCATTTTCTCAAGTCTGTGTATACTGGCCTCAATATAATCTGTGTGATTCGATGAAGGAAGCATCTATCAATCAAAGTTGATTTTATACACTAACTTATACAAATATAACATTGATGATAGGAAAAAAAATATTCAAGTATTTTCAAGTATCCCATTCACGATAACATAAATACTAACCTCATCTTTAACCTCAAGTACATATTTCAAATTCCTCGGAGAAGCTTCAACATCCTCACAGATAGGGAAAATCTCGGGCTTGTCTGTGGTGTAGGATTAATGCACTCCACAAGAGAAGCTGACTCCATATGGCAACCATGGTTTGTATCCTGGCTAGGCTGGCCTGAAGCACACAGGGCATGCACGTGAGTGCCCAAGAGCCTACAGGCCGAGGCCTATGGGAAGGGTATCGTGGCATGACCAGATCTTATGGAAGGAGCTCATTTCACTCTCTCTCTCTGACATATATGCACAGATTCCATCATGAATTAGGACAAAGAAAAGAAACTTTCAGGTACTACATAAATACCTTAAAGTGAAGCTACGAAATATTAAAATGCTTCAAAGTATTTTAAAATGTTTTATAAATATGTGTAACAATGATCAGGGAAACAACTAACAAAAAGCTACATTCTCTCCAGGACCAGCAGTTGGTATAGTGGCTATGTCACTGGACTCCCATGTAGTTGACCGCAGTTCGAGTCCCAGACCCGGTGGCTTAAACTCACACCGGCCGCGTGTGCATGTGTGTCCAAGATCCTGAGAGGGGAATGGAGGAGAAGGGATTGCAGCGTGGCCATCCTCCCTGGGGGTGATTTCTCATTTTCTGTCTGTCTCTCCGTCTATGTCATCTAGCAAGTGCACACACCCTATAGCTAAAATTTCTCCCCGTCCCCCTCCCCCCAAAAAGTTACATTCTCCCCTTCCAACAAAACACTAAAACTCATATAGGGAACCAGCAGGTGGTGTGATGGTTGGGGCATTGGACTCCCACATGGCTGACCCACAGTTCGAGTCCCAGACCTGGCAGCATGCTTTCTCACTTTCTCTCTCTCTCTCGCTGGTGAGCACATGTACCCTATAGTAAATTTTAAAAATAATAAAAATAAAAATCCAATCATATAGAGCTATTCCACATCCATTTTTTCTTGAAGGTAATTCTGTTGGTAAAAAGCCTCACCCAGAAGAGATAGGATTCTAATTTATAAACGCAAAGATGGTTCTAACCTTTTCATAAACTAATTAAACTTTCTATAGCCCACGAAGCACTAATCCCATAGAACAAACAAAATGGCTATTCCCATGGCTTAATTCCTATGACAAGTGAAACAAATACATTGGTTTTGGTTTTTTAAACATTCCTGACACCTGCCAGGTTTCTATTAAAAATTAAAATTCAAAACTGACAAAATTATTCATTTAACTTAAAAAGTTTTCTAAACAAATCATGAGCTAAATAGCCCAAGCAAAACTAGAACATTTCGGCTGTTGGCCCAGCTGTGGGAGTTAAGCAGGAGGGTGCAAGCGCAGATTGGCTGAGGCCTGCTTGGAGGCCCTGGCTTGGTTCC